TTTATATTAGATTATGTTAGAGATTTAGTATATATATAGATATTGATAAGAGAAAAAAGAAAATAAGAAAATGTATTATTTTAAGTAACGTGTAAGAAATTCGATATAATCTTTATAAAATGTCGAAGGTTCGCCTCCTTATCTTCGATTTCCACTGAAATTTTCATCGTTTACCTAACAAGACGACGAGGAGAAGAAAAAAAAAAGGCTGACACACGTAGACAAGAACGATTCATTTTGTCAGTTGATTTTATCGATCGAATTATCATAAAGATAACCGGATATCCGTGCTCGTCCTGGTAATGGTCGTACTGTAAATACATAAAAGCGCATGAATGAAAGAGCAGTTCCAGCCGATCAAACCGCCAAATCGATCGGAATAAATTCGACGAATAATCCGTTTATTTGGCGAACGCGTAACTTTTCAACGGAATCCAAAAAGAAAGAAAGAATGGGGAAAAAAAGTATAACTTCAAAACACAAGACGAAGAAAAAGAAATGTAGAAAATTTGCTTTGACCTCCTTCATTCCCTTCGATTCTTCATTTTGGAGGATAAAATATAGTAGCTGCAACAAGACCACTATTTTTTTGTACTCTTATGCAGAAGGAAGGAAAAGAAAAGGAATCGTCTATGATCTTGCGATCGAAAAATAATAATGAAAGAAAGAAGGGACGGGAAGGGAAGAGAAGGGAAGGGAAGGGAAGGGAAGGGAAGAGAAAGGAAGTAAGGAAGAAAGTCGATTCGATTGAAGAAATGGGTAAAGGAGTATTATACGAGGCAATGCAACGCTTCGATTCTCTTTAATCGTATATTCGATGCAAGGAAAGCACAAGAAAGAAGAAGAAAAAGAGAGAAGGATGAGGTAGGAGAAGAAACTTTTCGTCGAATCTCGCACGAAACCTGCAGATAGGATGGCAAAGTTAAAAGAGAGAAAGAAACACGAAAAAAAGATAAAAGGAGTGCGAGAGAGACAGCAATAAGCAATAAAATTGAATCACCCTGTATAAATCTCGAACGAAGTATTTCGTGCCGAGGAAAGTGGGTACCGCACGAGAACTTTCATCTTGTCCCTAAAGTCCGAGCTGAGCTTCTTTTTGCTCTCCCATACGTATGCCGTGTATTTGTGTGAGTGCGCGCGCGAAAGAGAGAGAAGGTCCTTAGGCAGGATGTTTGTTCCACGTATCCTGGAACTCTCTAAGGACGAGTCGAGTCACGTGGCACACGTGATCACGTTCTCCTGCATTGTACTTTCCATCTTCTGTGTGTGTGTGCGCGCGTGTGCATGGGTTTCCGTCGAAGGCCATCGGGTACACGTGACGCTAGGCTTCTTCATCCGAACGGCAATCATTCTTGAGTTATTCCAAACGTTGTCATGGCATATACATCTATATATTGATATGTAATATGTGTGCGGACCAGGGGGCCGAGGGGAATGTATTTCATACATACCTCGTGTGTATATTTAAAGCGTGCATGCACGTTTTCTATCGAATCGCTGGCAACGAAGTATGTGCTCCTAACAAATACGATTTTGATTCTTACCCTGAATCGTTGGAGAATGTTTTTACTACGAAATTTTATTCGTGCTAATGTGTCTTCAATATTGCTTTTAATTTGAATATTATAAATAATCGTCGCAAGTGGATTTATTTTCGATAAGATATTGTTCGAATTAAAATATAAAGTAAATCGTTGGCGTTGTCATGCCTACTTAGAGATCAAACTGAAAGATAAAAAAACAACTAAACAAAAATAAATCTGTCCAATTAAAATTTGGTACGCAACAAATGCTGACTGATACCTATTTCTATTTAAAGCTTAAATTAAAAGATAAAATGGAAACGCGAAAATAAATCAATCGATTGAATTTATGTGTTGAATAAGATTGTTGAAAATAAAATATTGTAAACAATTGACGCCGACATTCCTGCTTAAAAATATAAATTAACGATACAAAATTCGATGAAAGTAAATAAATGAATTCGATCTCTGAGGGGGGCGGGGTATAGGCATTGAAAAACGTGCTTACGGCAAATTAAGTTCAACTTAAAAGGTTCGTGTCAAAACAGAAAGAAAGCGGGGAAGTAGTACTATATAAATCGGTTTTAATTAACTTGCATGGGCGACCTTTGAATTTATCGATCTTAATGAAGAGGGTTGAGAACATTAGTAGGAATGTTGCGGTCGTTGTTAGATTCCCTTGAGAAACCTATGGAAAATGTAGGAGAATCTTTTGATGATACAACTCGATCTTATTGTCCTATTTCATAAGTCGAAACATAAACGTAATAGTCTTTTCTTTTAGCGAGATAGAAAGAAAGTTATCGTGCTCGTGGATGTTATAACCGAGAGAGAGAGAGAGAGAAGAGCATAGGAAGCGAGGTACGCGAGATCTCGCAGGCTTATGTAGAACGTACGAGGAAGACCTTTATCGAGTCAAAGCGGTATCTCGCAGAGGGCTTCGCTTAGAGTCGAGCCCTTTGCGACAGACGCGAGCAAGGAACCGAGAGAGCTACCGAGAGAGAGAGAGCAAGAGAGAGAACAAGCGTGTGCTGGCGTTCGAGCGTAGGACGTTGCGCCAGCACCACGAGAGGGAGAGAGAGAGACCCCTTCAAAGCACATTCCCTGCTGCGTAACCTTTTGACCCGCCACCCTGCCGCGTAGACAGCTCTTCGTCTCGTTCTCCTCTCCGAGGAAGACTTTACCCACCCACCCACTCTCCTCCTTCTTGTCGCAGAACACAAAGCCTTCGTTTCTTAGAAGAGAGCACATTTACGCATGCCATTTCCCACCCATTCCTCCCTATTCTCTCTCCTTTTACTTCCGCTTTTCTTACGTATTTCTCTCAAAACAAGATTCCAAATGCAAAGAGATTCGTCTTGGATACGAGTTCTCTCTCTCTCTTCTTCCCTTTCCACGGAGTTACTATTATTTCTCTATCCAAGTTTTGTTTTAGTTTGCGAGGGAGAATAACAGCGACACCGAGAATGTGGGAGAGAATCAAATTGAATAATATATGTATTTAAACGGTTACTTCCAAGTTGGTCAATATATAAGAACGCATTGAAAAGGAAGAGAGAGAAGAATATTCGAGAGTGCGAGACTATGCAAAAAAGAAGAAAAAAGATAAATAGATAGAAGAGAGAGAGGAGGAGAAGGAAAGGGAGAAGGAGAGGGAAAAGGAAGAGGGAAAAAAGGGATAAATATTTTTGCGGGCCTTCGATGTCGTCATCATCGTCGTCGTCGTCGTCGTCGTCGTCAGCCTTTCGTTCCATCCTTGCAATTTTTTTTTTGTCGCTTTCCAAAGCTCCGGCAATAATGAACGCGTCAATTTTCCATCTGGTCCCATCTTTCTCTCTCTCCCTCCCTCTCCTTCTCTCTATTTCTATCTATAATTCTCTATCTCTCTATCCTCCATCGTCGCTCAGCGTCCCCAACCCCCTACTGTCTCTCCCCCTCCTCCATCCCTCTCCCCCATTCGTTCTCATAGTTCGTGCCATTTTTTTCCGACGCTCCTTTCATTCGTTATCGTCCGTTTGCTAATGGCATACGATTGCCTTTCGCGTCTGCTCTCTCTCTCTCTCTCTCTCTCTCTCTCTTGACTTTTTTGTATTTTTTAAACGAGGAAATGTGCACGTGCGAGAGACCTTTACTCTCTCAGCGACATGCGAAGCCATCGGTGCCCCGTTCCATTTCCGAACGCAGATCGACGTACATGGAAAATTGGGAAAAAAGAGAAGGATATATGGGAAGAAGATGAAGAAGAACGCGAGTCTACGTATACGCGTCGTTGACAAAATCAAAAGTCCGATCGAGTTAATAATATTTGCGAAAAGAAAAATGTGCGTTGTGATTTGTGCAAGGAAATTACCACGAAATATATTAAAAATGTGATTTAATGAATAATTTGTATACAATTGACTAATAAAAATATGATATGCGATTTTTGTTCGACAGCATACGCGTATGTACAAATGTATAAACATCTCTGAGAGTGTATATGCGTGTACGTGGGTATGCGGCGTGTGCATGAGAAATGAAATATCGAATAAAATCGATCAAATTTTCTAAAAAAGACATTTTTCTATTAGGAACGATATATAAGTATAATTTATATGACATAAACGATGTACCAATCACAAATACTTTACTAGAACGAACAACATTTACAAAATAACAAATCTCGAACAAAAGCACTTTTCACAAGCAATATCAGAACTACATATATATATCTATAGCAACACAACACACACGCGTGACCGCACGTTGCGCATCGGTGGCACGCGAAAAGGGAACTTGAAAAGGGATCTTTATTCCCCCTCACTCTTGAAGCGAAGAAAGAGAGGGCGAATAGAAATAGAAAGAGACGACACAACGCAAGGAAAGCTTGCTTCTAGCAGAAATTGCATCCCCCTTTTACAACACACTTGCATTGTCGCAATATATATATCATATATTTATATTAATATACATATGCATACATATATATATATCTCGCCCCTTGTTTAGCCAACCGTCGTAAGAAACTCCCCCCCCCTTTAGACCCCCACCCTCTCGTTTGGTAACCACCCTCTTAGTGACATGTTTACCAGCCAGTAGCTTTAAGTTTTTGGAATTCGTGTATGCAACAACTCGTTTACCCCTTTTTCCAATTTGACTTGTGTACGTGTTTATTATACATATCTACATATATATATATATATATCTATTAATATTATACTTACACATTTGTGTATATGTATGCATACATACTTACAATATTCTATGTATCCATACATTTATCAAAAATAAAATACGTTCGTTAAATGTGTTTCATTATTTTATTCTTTGAGAATAAAAGGGTTGAAACAAATTTATAATGAACGAATGACATAACACAGAACAAATAAAAATACGACGACCTGCAAATGTATATATATAAATATATATATACATCGAACAGTCGTTGGCTTTCTGGTTTCTTAACTGAACTAACTTACGTTTTTTTTTTGTTTTCAGCTGCACAGATTCCACAACGCGGAAGTAAGTATCATTGAGGGTTTCATCGAGCGAAACGTTACATCTACTTTCTTTCTCATTCACATTTCGCACCCTCTTTGACGTGAAAATATAAAATGATTAGTAAAAATTAACACTGAAATTTGTATCGCGATTAAAATAATTGAATATTTGGATAAACCAAACATTACTTGATATAGATATTTCCCATCGAAAATGTCACTTGTTTTTTTCTCGCGTCTTTATGATATTGAACCTTATTGTAAGTTCATTATCGAAACGTCAAAGAGTTGAAAAGAGTTATCTTCTTGTAACTTTTAAGTTTGTGTGCATTTCAATTAAATTTCTCTCTTTCTCTTTGCCTTTATTATTGTATCGTGAAAGAAAATGAAAGATAGGCAAACTAAATTTTGTATTTGACACTCTGCATATAATATAAAAAGAAAAAGAAAGAGAGAGAGAGAAGCATTCGGTCAATCATTCGAACTCTTCTTTGATGTTTGATATAATAAATGTAACGACGCTTAGGTATATTTCGTAAAAGTGATAACTGTTTTTTTGTAGGGAAAGTTTTCAAACGAATTTGTCTATAAGGATATTTAAAATTGCAGCATGCAAGAGGAAAGACGAGATGTCGAATCAGGCAGAACACCAACAGCCCGCCCCCAAGAAACCGCGGCTGGTTTTCACAGACCTTCAGCGCCGTACTCTACAGGCTATTTTTAAAGTAAGTATTGTCATTTCCTCTCCCTTCTCTCTCCTATATTTCTTGATCGATACCCATCTTCCGTTTCACAATTTATTCTCGATTTTGATCGTGATCCCTTTGTTTTTTTATCCTCTTTTAGATTTTCTCTAATTCATTTTTCAATCGGTTAATCATTCTTATCTTTACGTGTTGCTTTATACGTTGTTCATTTAATTCTCTATGATTTTGAGTCGAGGCAGGCTCGATATTTCATTTCTGCACAATTTTTTCCTTTACCATTTTTTCTGGATTAAAAAAGTTTCCTACTGTTTGCAGGACGATGCATTAGTTTTATTTTCACGTACACATATATATACGTGTCGTTGATTTTACTATATGATTCAGAGTCGAGTAAGATTTGACAAGGATTCAGTTTTGTATCATTTGTCGATCGATCAATTATTTGTTTATTTTTTTTGGTAGATAAATGTCGGTGGTTAAACTTTATGATTTTGCGTAGAATGAAATTTGTGTGAAAGATTAAAAGAGTTTATTAATCATTGTATTTGCAGATTTGATAAGGTAAAATGTCACGTTCGTAGATTTTTCACGTGCATATGGAAAATAAGTTCATCCTCGAGTGGAAAGATAGGTGAATCGAGTCGAGCATCAGGCGCGCGGTGCGCGCTGCTGGATATCGATCTGTCTTGAATAATTTCGTGGCCGGTTCTTTACTTACACGCTCTGCATTTCCTCCTACCAACCCTCCGTCCCTCTTCTTTCTCTCTTCCGAGCAACCCCTTCAACGAGTCCTCGTTGCAAACATCGAGGATCGTGTCGTTTTAAGAATGGACACCAGATTCAGAATAAGTGGCAAATATTTTAACACTTACCCCACTCCTAAAGCCCATTTAGGAGCTTCCAAATTATTCCTATGCTCACACCCGTTTATTATATATATGCACTTTTCGTTAGACGGATCTACACGGAAATCTTTTTTTTCCTTTATCGATCGTTGCGAATAGATATATCATGTATAATATTAATGGATTGAGGGGGAATTCAACGTGCAAATTACTTACGCGAACGATTCAAATGCGTACCTCTATTTATTAATCGAGAAATTGGTGAATCAATCGGTTAATCGATTGTGACAATTTCGAGGCGAAACGCATATAGTTTCCTTTTTACTTCTTTTTCATTGTTAGTTATAATCTATTGGAAGGATCATAAATTTAACTTTTTTATTATTATTGCTAAACAATGGTAAAATCCCATAGTCGAATTTAATGATATTTCTGAATATTGAGCGATACAAGAGATCTTCTAATAATTTAGCCAAGGTCCGATTTAAATTCGGCGCGCAAATAAATTTCAACGTATAATCGATTAAAATAATTCTCAGAAACACGCAAAGAAATGGAAAGGGTCCTTGTTTGGAGGTACCTTTAGGTCTTTGGAACAGTGCCAAATAGTTCACGTATTGGCCTTAGCCCAGTTAACGCGTTCACATTCGCTCCGTTTCACATTCCATTTGATTTCTCTCCTGATTATTTACTGTTCACACACACACACAAATCATTTCTTCAAACTTTTTTCGCTGTTTCTATTTCAATATCTTTGGTCAAAAATGATATTCATACTTTGACCATGAATATAACTAATATTACAAACATAATATTATAATGAATTTATTCGAGAAGCATTTAGAAATAAACGATACTATACCATTCATAACGAAAACGCCTTAATACGATATCTAACACGAATTCTACAATGAAGATAAAATCAGGAATATTTTGCGAACGATGGAAAAAGAAAGAAAGAAAGAAAGAAAGAAAGAAAGGGAGTACATTTCTCTCTGTAATTCATTTCCGAACGACCTCCACTTCGTATTCGAGTTAGGATTCCTTTTGTTGCATGGAGGAAAATTCACTTCTTTTGTCAACTTCGACGTCCTTCTAAACGATATAAATAAAGTACATATACAGGAGAATAAAATATATACACTAAACATATATATATATATATATATATATGCATGTTTGATATGTACATATACAAATGTATATATATATATATATATATATATATATATAAAGGTGTGTACAGTGATAGAATGTGTAAATGTATAGAAGCTGGGAGGACAGTGGCTGTCATGGAATAATCACGATGTTCTCCCCGATAGTGTCCCGTATTTCCAACAATTGATGCACCGTTCTATACCATGAGAGAGAGAGAGAGGGAGAGGGAGAGGGTGGAAAAAGAGGGTTGGCACGGCGTCGAGTCAGAGACATCTTCGTTTCGTTGTGTATCGCTAACTCACGCTCCACCAACGAACGCGAACGGCCAGACAGGATATCAATATTCCCCTTACTTTACTTAAACGAAGTTCAACGAACGAGAAATTACGAAATGTAATTAGAGAGCAGGAGTAAATTTGAATATGGATAAGTATGCCCTCGGCGAATAGTAACAAGTTCTATCATTGATCGAGAGAAAGAATTTACTTTTCTATATGTATGGGATATAGATTTACGTCGATGTGTCCATTTCTGTGTTAGCTTTCAATTTCTTTTTTCAATTTTTGTCTTTTTTCTTTTTTCAAAAATATATCAAGAGTTATTGATACGGAAAATGCAATAAGGATGATGATGATGATAAATGTTAACACTAGGATATTTAATTGCGTAAAAACATAATCATTGTTTCTGTCGTTCGTAAATTTGTTCGTCGATAATTCTACGCGTATCGTTCTTAGAGTTCCAATTAAATCATCTAAATATGATAGGAAGGATAAATAAAGCATGTAAATCGTAGACCATGTCAAATCGATGGATTTTGTTATGGGAATCGGAGGCGGCTTCAAGATTGATTTGCGATAATAATCGTTACGTTTGTCCTACGATCGATATGTATATATATATATATGTATATGTATATATATATATGTATATGTATATATATATATGTATATGTATATATATATATGTATATGTATATGTATACGTATACGTGTGTACACCTATACACTTCGGCGTAACAACCGCGTTCATTTTATTGATCGTCAGGCTCTGGAACACACGTTGAATAAGAAACGTCGTGTTAAAAAGGAAACGTGCTTTAGTGTCTCTTCGTTTACAAGTTGCAATAGTATGCGTCTCCCTAACACAGATTACCGTAAACTCGATGAAAAATTTCGACGTAGTGGCTCTAGTAATGCGTTTTACTTAAAATCAAATTTACGAAATAAAATTTAAATGTTACTCCTCAAAGGATTTTTCTTTCCTACGGTGTGTAATTTTTTGTCTATACGATGTCTCTCTTTTGAAATTCGCAAAATTTCGAACCTGTCGATAATACCACGTTCGAATAATAATAATAATGCGCCAAGTGTTGATTAACACGTACAAATCCACATATAGCAACAATATCATTTTTATTTAATAATTAGATTATATTTATATGAAACTTATTTTTTGTTACAAGGGGTTAAACCATAGAAAAACGAAGCACGAAACGATCATATTAATGAATTTTCGAGCTTAATCGAGGTTTTAAGGGCAGCCAGTATTAGGATCTAGGTCACAAGATTAATTAACGAATTTAAATATTTCAAATCGTTTTTATAAGAAACTCTTTCATTTCCTTAACGTCTCTGTTCCCTCTTACTCTCTTTCTTCAATTTTCTCATAATTACTTGTTAGTATATTTTAAGTTCCGTAGAGATGCATTTATTCTCTTCGCGTATTGCGGATAAATTTTCTATTTTAAGATAAAGATAACTATTATTAAATAATACGTGAAAAAATAATTAGGTAATAAAAGGAAGTTGCTCGTATATGGTACGCTACATTAATTAATAAAAAAAAAGAAAAAGATCAACTACACAAAATAAGTAAACTTCATTTTTCGTTAAGAAGCTTAAATTTTGGACTATCTAAAAGCAAACGAGCGAACACACGATACAGTGAGAATTTCCCTCGCGAACGTCTTAACAAATCTTGAAGATTTTCCGTTGTTATAACCTACTGACTACATTGTCATTGTCGAAATCACATATTTGGTCGAATAATTTTTTTCGGAACGGATATGAGGAACGTGTAGATCGATGTAATAATGAATAAAATTGAGGTTGTAAGCAGGTAGCTAAAATGTATGTATGTTTGATCGATAAGTGGATTTATAAAAATAAGTTTGTACTGTGTTCTAAGGAGACGAAGAGGCCGTCGAAGGAGATGCAGGTGACAATCGCGCGACAGTTGGGCCTTGAACCGACGACGGTCGGTAATTTCTTCATGAACGCTCGACGGCGTTCCATGGACAAGTGGAAGGACGAGGATCCGAAGACCGTGGCGGTCGAGGAGGGACAGCTATCGCCAACAATAGGTATCGGACAGCGACAGCCAAGCGACGTTTTGTGACACACGTCCGACCACGAGGAGTACCACGACGAGTCACCGGAGGAGGATCTACCCTTCTCGTAAGGGTCTCCTTCTCCGCCTTCCTTCTCTTCCCACCGAACGACAACAACCTCTTTTCTCTATCATTTCTAATACGAGCTAACTTCGATAAATCGATACCCAAGGAAATATGCTTCAAGCCCAATAATCCTGCCCATAATTATGAAACTGCTCCAAATAATATTCTATTCGTTTACTTTCTAATAATGATAGATTGCTTTCACAATTATGGGCACTAATCTAATGCTCCAAATTTATATTTTTTAATTGCATTTAAACAACGCGTTTTCTATTTCTATCGAAAGATTTTCTCCGAATGGGCTACATACATATATATATATATACAGAGGGTAGTAATTCACGAAGAAAAGGTCATCTATTTGGGATACGATCCTTCGAATAATCTTCTATTAAAAAAACCTATTTAAACGGGTAATCCGTTTGAAGAATAAGTATTGGACAATATATAATATATACTCGTAACGTTCGCGGGAAGCATAATCCAAGGGAATTAAATGTGGGGAATATGAGCAACTAATTTATGGACCATTAAATGAACTTAACGTCATTATTTAACGCGACCTCAGGAGTGATCGTTTCAAATGAATGACCTTCATTCGTGAATCATTCTACGTAAAAATGCATCAATTTATCGAACCAAGTTGTATTTCTCGATTCGACCGAAATAATCACGATTGTTTTGGAATATTTCTTATGACTGATTTTTGGATTTTCAAGCTTTTACTACGTTCTCTTGTTCTATTTGAAACTCCATCTATGTCAAAGAAAACGACCGAGCTAGGGAAGTATTATGTATACATATATAGAAGGTCGTGCGTCATATACAACGTATAAGCTTCTACCAATGCCGAGGCAGCCATTATCTTATGTCCGTGATACTTTAGCAAGCAGCAACATCAGTAACGGCAATGGTAGCTTTGGAAAGATACAGTCGTGTTTGAAATTTTTTAATGACTAGTGTGCATACCTACATATTATGTATGCATTTCTTTTTCGTTACCATTCAACTTGTTTTTTTTTGTTATATTTGCCTATTTTTCTTCTCGTCAATTTTCTTTTATTGTAGGCAGAAAAAAAAAAGAATATATATATTTTTTCAGAGAAATATTTGGACGAAAATGTCGGAGAAAAAAAAATGGGAACGGTCGATTCGAGAAGGTAGAAAACAAAAAGAAATGGAAGAAAAAGAGAGGGAACAAAAAATAGAATAAATTTTCAAACAAATGCTCGTATTAGGGTTTATCATTCAACGTCATCGTTTGCACGTCCAAAGATATTACGAAGACAAAAGAAAGATCTGCTCTCGTCTCTGCGAGATTCGGCTCGAAGGATCCCACCTCGAATTTTATTTCTTCCTATACATTTGATATATATTTCAAAGGTTAAATGAATGATCGGCCGTATTATTAATTAGTTCGAAATTTTCTTGAAATTCGTTCATAAATTGAGGAGGAGTCCTTCGAAAGGTTTACATTTCTCTCTAACTTGAGTTTTCCAATCACGTGCCATAGTTTGCCATATTAGAATGTACGTAAGTTCCTTCTTTAACGGTTCTAGTCTATATTCACATTCCTTCGTAGATGTGACACACGCACACGATACACGCTTACGCGCAACGAAGAAATTGCGAAATCCTTTCGATGGAACCACTACCATCTTCCTTTTTCTAGTCAAAATTCTCGGATGATCGCAGTCCTATTGTGTGTATGCGTGTACATGTATACGTGTACATTTTTTTTTTTCTAATAGAAAAAAAGTAAAAAGAGAGAAAGAAAGAGAGAGAGAGAGAGAGAGAGACTTCCCGACGAGTCAAAGCGTCTTCTCGATTTTTAAATATAGAAACTAGTCGCCTTTCGCGTGAAAGAAAGCGAACATTTTTACGATGATATCGATTTGCTATTTTAATAATAAAATAAAATAATATTAATATTAATAATAATAATAATAATAATAATAATAATGATATAATATAATAAATAAAATATAATAAATAATAGTAATAATAATAATGATAAATAATAATAGTAATAATAATATAAATAATAATAAGAATAATAACAGTTAACACTAAGGATAATAATCAAGCGGCTCGTAGGAGACGAGGAAAAGGGTATTCTACGATATACATTAACTTTGACTCGATCGTGGAAATCTCTGTTCAACGTTGATGATTTCATATTGAAGAAGAAGAAAAGAAAAAGAAATTTGGAAGATAGATTAGACGATAAAGACAATTGCTATCGGAGACGAGAGTAGAGTAGAGTCGAACGATGGCGAAGAAGATAAAAATAAAAAAGAACAAACGTAAGGAAAGATAGAAAATATGGTGGGAAGAATATGGCGATGGAACTGTTGTAAGTTTAACAGATTCCATTACCATGACTCGTCGTGTATCCTCGTTGGTCAGATCGAACGTAAACCAATTTCAAAGTGGCATCGTGTGATGCACGTGCCAAGTGATATATATATCTATGTACGTACGTATGTAAATCTATGTATGTATGAAAGCACGTATGTATGTATATATGTACGTATGCATGTATGTATGAGTGTAAAAAAAAAAAAATACCAACACGTATATATCGGAGTGGACGATTTTCCGCGCAAACGATTGAGAGAGTGTGTAATCGTAATCGAGAGCAATTTTTAAAAAGCAAATGCCCGAACACAGCGTGTCGTGTGTGCGAATTAAATCATGAATGAGAGAGAGAGAGAGAGAGAGAGAAATACGTTATTGTATACTTGTGGACTTGGGTGAAAGAAAGACTAAGTTAACACAAATACGTATACATGCGTGTATGTGTTTAGACCGAGCGAGCGAGAGAAGGAAAGTTTAGAAAACCGCATTCGATATCGTACTTATTACAATCGTGCTGTGCACTCTTGTTATACATACATTTGAAGAAGAAATAATAAGGACGGAAGAATAAATGGGAGAACTCTTGTTACCTTGAAAATGCATTCGTTGTAAAGAACAGGCGAACGAACGACTTTCGAGAATTTCAAAAGGGACAAAAATAAGCGATCGGGTTAGATTTTTAGATATTAGCATTTTGTATTTTCATCCGAACGTCGCTCGTCGGCTCTATGCGATCAAAGAAATAAGCGGAAAGAGATAGAGATAGATAATTAGAGATTGCGCGTGTGTGCGTGCGCGTTTGTGCGGGAGAGAAAGTGAAAGAACATTTAGTTTCGGGGTTGAGAAGGAGAGAGGAGCGTAATCATTTATTTCAATCAGAACAAATTTACGAAACTATTTCTCGCCCTTATTCAAATATCTAATCCTTATTTAGTTGCTTCATTAGAGAATCTTATTGTTTGTATTTCAAGATTTGTGATATTAATGTGTTTTAATGTTTCTAACAAAAAGAATTGTTCTAAAACTTGCTAATCATTTTTCGTCTATTGTAACAATATTTCTTTACATTATACAATTGTCTTTAGAAAGTGATATATGTGTTATGCTTGTAACAAGTTGCCTTATTTATATACTTGATGGAATAATATTGGAGATTGATAAAATTTGGATTAATTTTAAAGATATTCGAAATATTCGTGATTAAATCGTAATTATAAATTTGTCGAAAGAAATGGGGAAAATGAAAAGGGAGCAAATGATCGTGTGAATTTGGGCGTGAATTCGAAAGAAAGAAAGAGAGAGAGAGAGAAAGCGTATAAAAAAAGAAGAAGAATAAGAAGAGAAAAGTCGCCGAGAAATCGGTCATCTTTTAAAAGATCATATATAGTACAAACTAAACATATATTATTATTCTAATAACGGTTTAATTAAATATAAGTGGGCCGTCGCTGTTTCGATAGAATATTGAAAGTGATAAACGAGAGAGAGAGAGAGAGAGTGATATATGAAACATAGAAACAAAGAAAAATGAAAAAATGTGGACCGCTGCTGGTCTAACGTGACTCGCATATGATTAAATATATCTTGTTAAAAAAGCGCTAATTATGAGTGCGATGAATAAACGATGATTAGGTGATTACGAGGTATCCTTGTCGCTTATCTTCAAAATTTTAAATAAACAATATTACACAATTTTTTATGAAACAAATTACAGATGGGAACTATCGATCTAATTGTAAAAGTAAGAAAACATCAGAGAAAAGAAGAGAGAATAATTTCAAAGAGAGAGAAAGAGAGAGAAAGAGAGAGAGAGAGATAAATAAATAAATAGAAAAAGAGAAGACCGAATTCGAAGCCTCGTTTCACCCTCATCGAATTTTCCGGATATCTGTTTTCGTTCGTTTCATTGAAACGGACGAACATAAATACACTCGCACGCATACACCCTCGTAAAAATTAAAGTACGTTTGAATAAGAGAATAAAAGAAAACGAAAGAAGAAGGAAGAGGAAAAAAAAGTAAGGCGAAAAAGAGAGCATATAAATATTTAGAAAAAAAAAAGAAAATTAAAAAAAAAGAGATCTTGGCCACGTGGCCGATTCGTGTGCCTCGCGTGAGTTCTCGGTCGCATCTTTCTTTTCAAAAATGATCGTCTTCGACTCGCCTCGTGCTTTCTCCCTTTTCTGTGCAATCTAAAAACTTGAAAAAATCAATTATAAATATAAAGCGGATCGAACACACGTACACACACACACACCCAGTTAATAAATATTACTCCTATTTTTCTTGGATCGTGCGCGCAAACCTTAACACATTGACGCATACACATAAATACTCACATACACAAATAAAAAAATATAAGAACGTAAAACGCACGAGGAAGACGACGAGAATTTAGTCGAAGAAGTGCGAAAATGTTCTGTACGATAAGTCTTGTAAATATCATTATTAGTCGCGACACTATTATTATCCAAGAGGGATAAGAGCGTAATTATAAAAATGGAACACAGACATACACAGACACTCGTATATATATATATATATAAATATATCTATAGAAAGAGAGAGAGAGAGAGAGAGAGAGAGAGAGAAAGAGAGAGACGCGCGATTTTTGTTACATTTCAAAGTGCTGCTCCTCCTCGTGCGCCGTACAGGTAGCAGTATGCATGTCGTGTTCACTTTCTCTTTTGTTCGTCGTGAATTTGAAAAGAAAAAAAATTCGAATAATCTCAAAAAAGAGCGAAAGAGATAGAAAGAGTATAGAAAATCTAAACGAAAAGAGGAGAAGTAACCATATTAGGGATAATAACGTGAGAACATAGCTCTATATTATATGTACATAAATATATAATATAGAGTATATTATAAGTAAATGAATATAAATACGGATATAAATATGAACATAATTATATAAATTTAAAATGAGTAAAATATATGTATATATATATATATATA